AATTCACAAGAAAATCATCTTGACTCTTATAATTTGGATGATTACCTTTTCTTTAGGCTCAAAGGGGTGACTAAGGACAATATAAAGTGTTCAGGATAAACAGACATGGCCACTCTTTATTGAATCTATTAGCTCTTGAATTTGATCATGATTTGCTATTCTTAGTCTAATGATTGCCATCATTTTGATTTCTAAAGCTTTAAAACCCTCAAAAAGGACTTTTCCTTGGGTTGTAATGGGGTTTGTTTAAGGTTTTATGAAAAGAATGGAAATTAAAGACTCAAAATTAACCAACATGCCCCCCAAGTTACATGCCTTAGCTAGAAGCTTTCTATTTTAAACCCTTGCCATGTGACATTTGCATTGTCATTTCTCTTTTATCTTTTCTTTTTCTTTTGTTGAGCTTTTGCTCTCTTTGAACTTTGCCCCTCTTTTGAGATTTCTCTTCATGGCTTTTAGCAATATGATCTTGCCCCAATTAGGTAGGTAACTATATTCCCCGGTTTTGGGATAAGTATGAAAGAAAAGGCTCACTTTTTCTTTTTAGGCTCAACTTGATTGACAAAAAGATGACTTTTTTGGGTAAAGTGTTTGGAAATTAGGCTCATGAAAGATGGCCTTTGATCCTTGAGCTTTAGACCTCAAAAATGATGACAATCATTCTACTTAAGTTAGCAAGATTTCCTTATTCTCTCTCCTTTTTCTTTTAGATCTTTACTCACCATTTTCTTCTTATATGAGTCTATCACATTTGACCGCAACTTTGGCCTCTATTTTGCAACACATCAATTAGTTCAAGGGAAGAATCTAGATCACCATCATCTTCCTCGACATGGATTTGGATCATTTGAACCATATACCAATCCAAAAATGGCATCATTCTATTCAGATTCATCATTAGCAAAGCCTGAAAGCAAAAAGAAACATGGATAAGCAACAGCATGTGAGGAAAGCATATATATGCAAGTAAATTTTTTTTTCCTTTTTGTTTTTTTGATTTTTTTTTTTTTGAGCATATTAATGGCATCAAGAAGAGTTGCATCAAGTTTAATGGATGATGATATGGCAACATATGTTACTGAATTGTAAAGACTGGGAAAACTAATTAGCATCATAGCAAATATTTCAAAGAATATGAAAGAGCTTGTTATTCCCTCCTTTCATGTAGCCACAAGCTGAGCTACTAGAAAGCTGACTTATCCTACTCATGGATGAATGAAGCAGAGAAAAGCTTGACTGTTCAATTGGTCAAAGTGTCCCCAAGGCAGAAGTAATGATCAGGTCCAATAGGGGTTCATCCTTAAGAGCAATAATACTCAAATTTCCCCATGACCTAGATTTGCCCCCTCATTCATTGAATTTAAATCCACAAGTCTCGTGTGTAAGTCCACTTCAACATCATATCTTGGTGAGTTTATAAAAGCATGTTGAGGCTGCCTTCTAAATGGATGATGCATTGCTCCAAAGAGTGAGAAAACATAGGGAGACTATCATGCCTGATTTTTTGTTTTTGTTCTTGAAGTAGTTTATGAAACCTACCTACAAACAAAAAGTAAAAGAAAAATAAATAAAGTCAGAATAATGTTAGAAGTCATCCCATGATTTTGCATGATTTAGTGCTTCAACAATTGCTATATGGATTCACACATTGTCAATTTCCAATCCTTAAGGAGCCTCGGATGAAGCAAAATATCTTTGAACGCCTTGAGATTTCCATAGACTCCAAGGGCTATAGAAAAGACACTTACAAGCAGTTCAACATGCATTACAAAGATGGTCATTCATTACAAAGTAGAAGCCAAGTACATCACACTAAGTATATCAACATGGTAGCATTCAAGTCCCTAATAAAACCTGACTCCTAGATCTTTCAAAGTACAATTGTTTAATGAGAAGTAGCATTCTTTCCTTGTTGAATCCCTTGATTGTTAGAGCACATGAAGTGTGATGCGCTTGAACTTTTGATCTTCAAAGCTAGTCTTGGTTCTTGTCCTTCTAAGCTTGCCCCTTGGACTTGGCAATTGTCCACAATGGAGAAAATGCTTGCAGTTGAAGATCTCCTAAATCCTTTGTTGGTCAAAGCTCTCTCCATGGATGAATATTTCAAAGGTGTCTTGACTGATGAAGAATCACGCTTGACCATGTATGAATCCATATCTCAATTGTTGAAGGTAGAGAGTCAAACAAGATTATGGGAGTGCAAGAAAAGAAATAAACATGGATGCCAAACAATAGATAAAGGATGAAGGAACATGAATATGCTCTAAAGTGATAATGTGTGTGGAGTTGTATCCTAAAGCATGCATTTTTGGGAATGCATGAAAAGAAATAACCATGGATGGGAAATGAGTGATAAAGGATGCAAAAATATAAATATGCTGACAAGTGGTAAGGTGTGTGAAATTGTATCCTAAAACATGAATTTTTCTTCATTAAGTATGCTAAGCAAATTTCAAAGGAGAAGCTGGTGATTCACTGTTACTACCATTAAATTGGCATTCATAGGAAATATCATTCCTTTGAAAAGAAAGCAAATGCCATGAAGCTTGAAGAAAAAATGAATGGTGTGATACTTGGAGAGAATGGATGATGTGATGCTCCAAAATCATGTGCTCAAATTATTTTGATGTCTAAAAGATGGATTTTTCATGAATTTATCTTGGAAGAACCTTTTTTTCTCTTTTTTTTTCTTTTTTTTTTTTTAAATGTGAAATGCTTTGGATTTAGTTGAATAAGGCCCACAAGTTTGAAACATGCAACAAAATGCAAGATGGTGAGAACTTCTTCGAATGAGAGCTTGTACTTTTTTCTTTTTTTTTGAAAATCATGACTTAAAGGATTTGATTGAAGAACAAGAAAATATGAGGATCAAATTTGATTTTATTCTAAACATGAAATGAGCATGAAATGAATGTAAATTTGACATGGGATGGAAAATGTGATGTAAGGTCGAATATGAGTTGCAATGAAAAATGGGATTTAATGAGAACTGAACATGGATAAGATTTTTTTTT